TATACATTTTTCTCAGCACCACATCACACTTATTCTAAAATTGACCACATAATTGGAAGTAAAATACTCAACAAATGCAAAAGAATGGAAATCATAACAACAGAATGAAAAGAATGGAAATCATAGTCTCTCAGACCACAGTGCAATCAAATTAGAACTCAGGATTAAGAAACTCACTCAAAACCACACAACTACATGGACATTGAATGACCTGCTCTTGAATGACTACTGGGTAAACAACGAAGTTAAGGCAGAAATAAACAAGTTTTTTGAAATGAATGAGAATAAAGACACAACATACCAGAATCTCTGGGACACAGCTAAAGCAGTGTTTAGAGGGAAATTTATAGTACTAAATGCCCATAGGACAAAGCGAGAAAGATCTAAAACTGACACCCTAACATCACAATTAAAAGAACTAGAGAAGCAAGAGCAAACACATTCAAAAACTAGCAGAAGACAAGAAATAACTAAGATCAGAGCAGAACTGAAGAAGATAGAGACACGAAAAACCCTTCAAAAAAATCAGTGAATACAGGAACTGTTTTTTTGGAAAGATTAACAAAATAGACCACTAGCCAGACTAATAAAGAAGAAAAGAGAGAAGAATCAAATAGACACAATAAAAACTGATAAATGGGAGATAATACTAACCCCACAGAAATACAAACTACCATCAGAGAATACTATAAACACCTCTACACAAATAAACTAGAAAATCTAGAAGAAATGGACAAATTCCTGGACACATACTCCCTCCCAAGACTAAACCAGGAAGACATCAAATCCCTGAATAGACCAATAACAAGTTTTGAAATTGAGGCAGTAATTAATAGCCTACCAACCAAAAAAAGCCCAGGACCAGACAGATTCACAGCTAAATTCTACCAGAGGTACAAAGAGGAGCTGGTACCATTCCTTCTGAAACTATTCCAAACAATAGAAGAAGAGGGAATCCTCCCTAACTCATTTTATGAGGCCAGCATCATCCTGATACCAAAACCTGGCAGAGACACAACAAAAAAAAGAAAATTTCAGGCCAATATCCTTGATGAACATCGATGTGAAAATCCTCAATAAAATACTTGCAAACCAAATCCTGCAGCACATCAAAAACCTTATCCACCAAGATCAACCCGGCTTAATTCCTGGGATGCAAGGCTGGTTCAACATACGCAAATCAATAAACGTAATTCATCATATAAACAGAATCAATGACAAAAACCACATGATTATCTCAATAGATGCAGAAGAGGCCTTTGATAAAATTCAACACCCCTTCATGCTAAAAACTCTCAATAAACTAGGTATTGATGGAACGTATCTCAAAATAATAAGAGCTATTTATGACAAACCCATAGCCAATATCATACTGAATGGGCAAAAGCTGGAAGCATCCCTTTTGAAAACCAGCACAAGACAAGGATGCCCTCTCTCACCACTCCTATTCAACGTAGCGTTGGAAGTTCTGGCCAGGGCGATCATGCAAGAGAAAGAAATAAAGGGTATTCAATTAGGAAATGAGGAAGTCAAATTGTCTCTGTTTGCAGATGACATGATTGTATATTTAGAAAACCCCATCGTCTCAGCCCATAATCTCCTTAAGCTGATAAGCAACTTCAGCAAAGTCTCAGGATACAAAATCAATGTGCAAAAATTACAAGCCTTCCTATATACCAATCATAGACAAACAGAGAGCCAAATCATGAGTGAATTCCCATTCACAATTGCTACAAAGAGAATAAAATACCTAGGAATACAACTTACAAGGGATATGAAGGACCTCTTCAAGGAGAACTACAAACCACTGCTCAAGGAAATAAGACAGAACACAAACAAATGGAAAAACTTTCCTTGTTCATGGATAGGAATAATCAATATCATGAAAATGGCCATACTGCCCAAAGTAGTTTACAGTTTCAATCCTATCCCTGTCAAGCTACCATTGACTTTCTTCATAGAAGTAGAAAAAACTACTTTAAATTTCATATGGAACCAAAAAAGCGCCCATATAGCCAAGACAATCCTAAGCAAAAAGAACAAAGCTGGAGGCATCACTCTATCTGACCTCCAACTATACTACAAGGCTGTAGTAACCAAAACAGCATAGTACTGGTACCAAAACAGATATATAGACCAATGGAACAGAACAGAGACATCAGAAATAATGCCGCCCATCCAAAACCATCTGATCTTTGACAAGCCTGATAAAAACAAGCAATGGGGAAAGGATTCCCTATTTAAGAAATGGTGCTGGAAAAAATGGCTAGCCATATGCAGAAAACTGAAACTGGACCCTTTCCTTATACCTTATACAAAAATTAACTCAAGATGGATAAAAGACTTAAATGTAAAACCTAAAACCATAAAAACCCTACAAGAAAACCTAGATAGTACCATTCAGGACACAAGCATAGGCAAAGACTTCATGACTAAAACACCAAAAGCAACGGCAACAAAAGCCAAAATTGACAAATGGGGTCTAATTAAACTAAAGAGCTTCTGCACAGCAAAAGAAACTATTAACAGAGTGAACAGGCAACCTACAGAATGGGAGAAAATTTCTGCAATCTACCCATCTGACAAAGGGCTAATATCCAGAACCTACAAAGAACTTAAACAAATTTACAAGACAAAAATCAAACAACCCCATCAAAAAGTGGGCAAAGGATATGAACAGATACTTCTCAAAAGAAGACATTTATGTGGTCAACAAACATGAAAGCTCATCATCACTGGTCATCAGAGAAATGCAAATCAAAACCACAATGAGATGCCATCTCACGACAGTTAGAATGGCAATCATTAAAAACTCAGGAAACAACAGATGCTGGAGAGGATGTGAAGAAATAGGAACATTTTTACACTGTTAGTGGGACTGTAAATTAGTTCAAGCATTGTGGAAGACAGTGTGGCGATTCCTCAAGGATCTAGAACCAGAAATACCATTTGACCCAGTAATCCCATTACTGGGTGATACTATACAGACACATGCACACCTACGTTTATTGCTGTACTGTTCACAATAGCAAAGACTTGGAACCAACCCAAATGCCCATGAATGATAGACTGGATAAAGAAAATATGGCACATGTACACCATGGAATACTATGCACCCATATAAAAGGATAAGTTCATGTCCTTTGCAGGGACATGTATGAAGCTGGAAACCATCATTCTCAGCCAACTACCACATGAACAGAAAACCAAATACCACATGTTCTCATTCATAAGTGGGGGTTGACCAATGAGAACACATAGACACAGGGAGGGGTACGTCACACACCAGGGCCTGTTGGGGGTTGGGGGGCTAGGGGAGGGGTAGCATTAGGAGAAATATCAAATGTAGATGATGGGTTGATGGGTGCAGCAAACCACCATGGCACATGTATACCTATGTAACAAACCTGCATGTTCTGCACATGTGTCCCAGAACTTAAAGTATAATAATAATATAAAAACATATATATATATAGATTTTAGCCAAATAAATAAATGAAAATAATCAGCCGGGTACGGTGGCTCATGTCTATAATCCCAGTACTTTGAGAGGCCAAGGCGGGTGGATCACCTGAAGTCAGGAGTTTGAGAACAGCCTGGCCAACATGGTGAAACCCCATCTCTACTACAGGTGTGGTGGCACACAGCTGTAATCCCAGCTACTCGGGAGGCTGAGGCAGGAGAACTGCTTGAACCCAGGAGGTGGAGGTTACAGTGAGCCGAGATAGTGCCACTGCACTCCAGCCTGGGCGACAGAGTGAGACTCCGTCTCAAATACTAATCATCATCATCATCATCACACCTCTGGGAAATCTTTCCTGAATAATCATGTTACCTTGTATAAATCTTCATCTCCCACCTAGAACACCTATTGCCTTTAAGTGCTTTCATGTCGGGCGGCTCTGTTAGATTTTAAACTCCAAGGACAAAGACCATGCCTAAAATTATGCCTGACACATAGTATGTGATTAATGTTTGCTGAATTAAAGTTGCTCTCTCCTATGATTCTACTTCGTGATCACCTGTGAGCCTGGATACTGGATAACTAAGTAAATATAATTACATGTATGGTAATTATGAGATTCTCAGTGAGAGAATGAGGGACTGTCCCCATGGGAAAAGCACCCAAGCTTAATATACAGTCTTTGGAATATCAATTCTGGCTCTCTCAGATCTTTGTTGGATTACTTGTTAGCTTTCAACCATGTTCCAGAGCAATGAGATGTTACTACACTTAAAAATATTAAGCAGTCTGTCTATCCATTAAAGCAGAAGCTAGTGAACACTTCTAAATTTAAGCTGGAATCTTAAGAGAACTTTAGGAATGTAAAAACAATGAGCACATAGCATTCATTATCATTGCTATAGGCCCTTCCTAGTCTTTAGCAAAATGTTCTACTGAAGCAGAAAAGTGCTATATAATGATGCTTACAATCTACACTGAAAGGCAGTATAGTACAGTTCTTAAAGGTTCATGACTGCCTGGTTTGCAATTTGACTCTCTTACTCACTAGTAATGCAACCTAGGGCAAGCTGCCGAACTTCTCTGTAACTGTTCTTCATCTATAAGATGGGACTAATAATAGTATTTCTTAAACGGTGCCTGGCCTTTGATAAGCAATAAATAAATGTTATTATTTTTATTTTAATTACTTTGTCAGGAAAAGATCCCAGTCATTTCACAAGTCACCTAATGCCTTTTATATACCAGGACTGGGCTAAATGTAGTGTAATCCACTCTCCCAACATTTTTTTTTTTTTTTTTTTAAGAAAGAAAAAAGATGTGACTCTCCATACCTTATAAGTCCAGATATCCAACTCAGATAAGATAGACAGCAGCCCCATCATTGCCTACTCAGGGAAGAGGGTTCTATGGATAATACTGTCAAGAATCGTATTACTCACATCTAACTTTGGACTTATACTGCTCCTCATCTGGTCTTCATCTTTAAATCATGTTTTTGTTTGTTCTGTTATTGTGGAAATAAGTATATACTTACCAACTATAGACCAGGCAAACATCACAATCACCACAAAAAGCCGAACCATGAAGTTTACAGGTCCTGGATCAGCCAAAAGTACCAGCCGGCAAATCAGCATTGCTACTGTCAAGGGAAGTATACAGTAACCCAGTACACAGAGGCTCTGAAAAAAAGATCTTAAAAACAAAATACATTAATAAAGATCATAAATACAGCTGATGGGTGTTATGACACAGCTTATTACATAGATTTCTCTATATAATGGACTGTTTCCTCCTTCTTGGTACATAACATCTACATCCTAACATTAATTATTAAGTACATGCTTTTGGCTGGGTGTGGTGGCTTACGCCTGTAATACCAACACTTTGGGAGGCCAAGGTGGGTGGATCACCTGAGGTCAGGAGTTTGAGACCAGCTTGGCCAACATGGTGAAACCCCATCTCTACTAAAAATGCAAAAAAATTAGCCGGGCATTGTGGCGGGTGCCTGTAATCCCAGCTACTCAGGAGGCTGAGGCAGGAAAATCGCTTGAACCCGGGAGGTGGAGGTTGCAGTGAGCTGAGCTCGTGCCACTGCACTCCAGCCTGGGTGACAGAGCAAGACTCCATCTCAAAAAAAAAAAAAAAAAAAAAAAAAATTAAGTACATGCTTTAATTTTCTTTCCCTATACTCTTCCTCCTCTCCTCTCAGATCCCTTAAAAGTCAATCATCTAACACCAGATGATCTGCTCTAGTTCCTACAGATATCTTTCTCTGAACCTCTAAGATGGTGGTTCTTAATCCTTTCTAGTTTATATATACTTGAGAATTTTTATTATACTTGAGAATTTGTTGAAAGCTATGGACCACTTGCCCCCCAAAATGTACATACTCTTCTTACACAAAAAAGTCTGCCTATGATTTCAGGGCCTGGAGAGGGTATCTGAAGCTTATTAAAGGACCTCAGATAATTTAAGACAATTTAACTCAACAAGGTTATCTCTGTCCAGTAGTAGTGGTTTTAAGAACACTTCTCTTTGGCCCTTATTTAGTTCAATTTTTCTTTTTAAAAAAATATCAGGCCAGGTATGGTGACTCATGCCTGTAATCCCAGCATTTTGGGAAGCCAAGGTGGGAGGATCACTTGAACCCAGGAGTTCAAAACCAGCCTGGGCAATACAGTGGGACCCCACCTCTACAAAAAAAAATTTTTTTTAAATTAGCCAGGCATAGTAGCACATGCCTGTAGTCCCAGCTACTCAGGATGCTGGGGCAGGAGGATCCCAGCTACTTGGGACGCTGAGCCTGGGAGATAGAGGCTGCAGTAAGTCATGATCACACCAATGCACTCCAGCCTGGGTGACAGACTGAGACCCTGTCTCAAAAAAAAAAAAAAAAAAAAAAAATCTAACTAGCCTGTCTTCCTTAATCTAAGATATACTACCTGGCAAGGGGGAAAAACAATGCATTTTAGTAATACTCACATGTTCCCTCCAAGAAGCTTTGAGTTGAGGGTGATGGTAACTGCACCAAACCAGACAATAACAAACACCTCTGCAAACTGGGGCCCTCCATCTTTTTCACTATCTACAGAGTCTCTTTGCAGCATTCTGAGAAAAGGAAACAGCATAAGAATTGCTTAATCTTTTACTTAGGGCAACACAGTTAAGGCATGGGTTCTCAAACTTTGAATCAGATTGCTGTGCTATAACCTCACCCGAAGATCTGTAATATGTAGGTTGTACTAAAAGGAAAATGACACAAGTATTTGGCAAGGATCCCTTACTGCAAATTCCAAATGCCTCAGGACTACAAGGGGTGCTCCATTTGACCTTGTTGAATTACTGAAGACCTTTTTTTTTAAGCAGTGGTTACAAACTGAAGGGTCAAATGTACCTCACAGATATGAGGTTTTGGGCTTATATAATATTTAAGATGATTTTGAATTTAAGTTGACATTATTTTATTTCACATAAGAATATGAATTTCTAGATCTTCTTGAAAAAACTATTAGACTTTCTAACACTGAGCCTGCATTCCAACACTGCAACAATTAAATGTAGCTGACATAAGTGCAAAGGGCTTACAGTCACCATATCACTACTGCATGCATTTAGGTTACTACTCTAGCCTTTAGACATATCTGAATTTGCAATTCTTGGGTTAAGCTTTCAGTTGAGATATTTAAAAACGGAAATAGGCCAGGTATGGTGGCTCAGCCTGTAATCTCAGCACTTTGGGAGGCCAAGGCAGGCAGATCGCTTGAGGCCAGGAGTTCGAGACCAGCCTGGGCAACATGACGAAACCCCCGTCTCCACAAAAAATAAATTAGCTGGCCGCGGTGGTACACGCCTATAGTTGTAGCTACTAGGAAGGCTGAGCTGGGAGAATCACTTGAGCCTGGGAGGTTGAGGCTACAGTGAGCTGTAATCACACCACCGACTCCGCCTGGGTAACCGAGTGAGACTGCCTCAAAACAAAATAAAAATAATAAACAAAAATGGAAACGGTCTATAAACCTTTTTAGTTGTTGATTTTTAAAAACATCAAAACATACAGATTATTGCTAAAGGGTTTTGCTTTGGAATTGAGTAGTTGAACAACCACTTAACTATTCTTTCTTTGTCTAAGAATTTTACAGATGTAAACTGTTTTGAATATTTGGACTTGGTGTTATTACCAAGAAAAATAGTAATTGTAAGCTCACAACCTCTTCTTATTAAACAGTATAGAGAAGTCACACTGTAAGTCTTTCTTGCCCTGCTATGCTACTTGGCAGTACGCACAGGCTTTTGTATTCTATGCTATGCATATTCCATTCCGAGTCCTGACAACCAGATGCAAAGAATGGCCAGCACTCATCACTTGTTGCCTGGAATCCCTATTGCTTCAGCATGGTATGATGGAAAGAATATTAACTAGCCTGGAAAGCAAGAGACCCAGATACTGATCCTAATTCTGTCACTAGATATGTCACTTGATGTCCTGGGACTCCAGTTTTCTCTGCAACTAAGTGGGGTTAAACTACGTAATCTATAAGGTTAATCTTTCAAAAATATATATATATGCTCAGGATGTCTAATATAAACCCCTCCATCAAGGCATTAGGCTGCATCCCTTGACATAGTTACTAAAAGCATAAGAAATAGTACTCAACATTATTACCTAAATTAATATATGCTCAATTTAAATTTAAAAAATTAGAGAAGTCAGCAAGAAACTTAGTGAATTTAGACCCACAAAGGGTTAAGCCTGGAAAGGACCCTCAACCATCTCCCTTTACAGATATGGAAGAGGAGACCCAGAGTGACTAGGTGGGAAGAGATGTGTAATGAACCCTAGAGGTACAGAGTAGGTAGTGAGGAAACCTGAGGTTGAATCTCAGGTCTACCACTGATTATGTGATCTTGGTTAAATCCTCAACCTTTGTGAACCTGAGCTTATTTGTCAAAAAAAAAAAAAAAAAAAAAAAAAAAGAAAAGAAAATAATTTTAATTCTTGCTATGTGGCTAAAGTAAGAGAAAGTATTTCAAAGTTTTCTGCAAACTGGGAAAAATTATACAAACATTGGTTATTAGTAGCCCAAAGTCGCATAGCTAGCTGACAGTAGAGTCAGAATGCGAACTCCGAACTGAATTCCAGGGCAGTATTTTTTCCCACTCTATCAATGGTTATATTCCTCTCTCTAGTGTAACCTTTCTCTCCTTCCTCTGTCCTCTTCCTTTACATACAACGTGTATGGAAAAGTACAATGCTCTGAAACACGATCTTGCTTTTCACTACTACTTCTGATTTATTCTCATTCTCATTCATATTTTTAGTAAGATTACAGAGAATCACGTTTGCAAACAAAGGGTGCTTAAACCTTAATTCACTTAGTTTAATAACGGGGAGGAACAAGAGACTAAATAAGTAAATAAATATTTGTTGAACAGACATGGCTAAAACAGACTAAAATGTCATTGGTTAAGGAAGGTGAGCCTAATTTCATCATTTTTTAATTGATTTGGAAAGTGACGTTAGAGGCTGAAATACCTAAGGAGTGCAACATGTCCAACAAGTCATACAAGTCCTAAATTAAATATTCAATCAAAATCCCCCACAATTTTGAAAATCCACAAAAAAGTCTAGTCTAGCTCAAAGGACAAAGAAAGAAAATGCAAGTACTTACAATGCGAGTGTCACACAAAGGATCAAAGGGCCCCACAAATCCCCTAGGAGACAAGAAAAGACAGAAGCAAAGGTAATATTTTCTATCTTTATTCCAATATCTACCTCTCTCCCTCCTGGAATTCAGACATCAAGGATCTCTTTTCCTGCCTAAGCCTTCCTACCTCTCCTCTCCCACTACCTGCCCTCCCTGTCCCCTAATCCTGAATGCACTTCTTTACATAGACTTTAAGTTTTGTTTACTTCATATCCCACAAATCACCCTTCCCTCCTCCCCATCTACTAAGCCACATACTGGCATCCTATAATTAAAGACCAATGGACAAACAATCAGAAGACCTAGGTTCCCTACCCCATACTCTTAAGAAAAAAGACTATAGCCAAGGCACTTTACCGATCAGAGACTGCATTAGACAAGGCAAGTATAATCATGCTCAGTTCACAAATACAAAAAATGAAGCTGAGAAGGAAATGACTTGCCTAGTTTTATATGTGGAGATGGGACCAGAACCTAGGGCTACTGATTTTTTTTTTTTTTTTTTTTGAGATGGAGTTTGGCTTTTGTTGCCCAGGCTAGAGTGCAATGGCGCAATCTCAGCTCATAGCATCCTCTGCCTCCTGGGTTCAAGCGATTCTCCTGCCTCAGCCTCCCGAGTAGCTGGAATTACAGGCACCCGCCACCATACTTGGCTAATTTTTGTGTTTTTAGTAGAAACAGGGTTTCACCATGTTGGCTAGGATGGTTTTGAACTCCTGACCTCAGGTGATCCGCCTACCTTGGCCTCCCAAAGTGCTGGGGTTACAGATGTGAGCCACCGCACCTGGCCTGATTCTTTTTTTTTTTTGAGACAGGGCCTCACTCTGTTGCCCAGGCTAGAATGCAGTGGTGCGATCGTGGCTCACTGCAGCCTTAACCTCCCAGGCTCAGGTGATCCTCCTACCTCAGCCTCCTGAGTAGTTGGGACTACAGGCACATGCTACCACACCCAGCTAATTTGTATTTTTTGTAAAGATGGAGTTTCGCCGTGTTGCCCAGGCTAGTCTTAAACTCCTGGCCTCAAGTGATCCACTCGCCTCAGCCTCGCAAAGTGCTGGGATTACAGGCATGAGCCACAACACCCGGCCTGGTCTTTTGATTCTTAGACCAAAGTTGTTGCCACTCTGTCGTACTGCTTCCCTTTTATAATTAGTATACTGAATTAATATAGAGTTGCTGTTCTTCTAGGTAAAAAAACAGCCCAGTATTCGTAATTTCACAAGGTTAAACTTTAGCAAATAACATATGAAAGCTTTCTGAAAACTGCAAAAGGCTATGAAGGCTCTGCCAGCATCAGGTCTAGCAAACATGGTCCTCAATCAAAAGCTGCAGGCTGGGTGCGGTGGCTCATGCTTGTAATCATAGCACTTTGGGAGGCTGAGGCGGGTAGATGGCCTCAGCTCAGGAGTTTGAGACCTGCCTGGGCAACATGATGAAATCCCATCTCTATTAAATACAAAATATTCACTGGGCATGGTGGCACGTGCCTGTAATCCCAGCTACTCGGGAGGCTGAGGCATGGGAATTGCTTGAACCCAGGTGGCAGAGGTTGCAGTGAGCCAAGATCGTGCCATTGCACTCCAGCCTGGGTGACAGTGCAAGACTCCGTCTCCAAAACAAACAAACCAACAAAAACAGCTACCGAGTGATTTGGTCAGGTTCGGTAGCTCATGCCTATAATCCCAGCACTTTGGGAAGCTGAGGCGGGAAGACCACTTAAGGTCAGGAGTTTGAGACGAGCCTGGCCAACATGGTGAAACCCCGTTTCTAACTAAAAATACAAAAAAATGAGCCAGTTGTGGTGGCACATACCAGTTATCTCAGCTACTCGGGAGGCTGAGGCAGGAGAATCACTCAAACCCAGGAGGCAGAGGTTGCAGTGAGCCAAGATCACAACCTCTACTCACTACACTCCAGCCTGGGTGACAGAGCAAGACTCTGTCTCAAAAAAACAAACAAAATAAGCTTCTGAGTGATTTGTATGCCAACAGTTCAGTAGCACACAGCTTAGAGCACAATTACCTTCCTCAATTCATTCCAAAAAGGCACATATCCCACATCTAACTTTAACCTCACATGTATATAACATTACCCAAGAGACGTACGCAAAGTTATATACTTAATATTATTTATTTTTTAATTATATAAGTAATTTTGACACCATTGTGGAAAGTTTGGAAAAGACATAAAAAACCATAATCCTACCACTTCTAATAAAACTGCTGCTAATTTCATTAATTTTTTTTTTAATTGCTCAACTTAAAAACTGAATTCAAGTGTACTGTCATGTGCCACATAATGACATTTTGGTCAATGACAGTGGTCCCATAAGATTATAATGGAGCTAAAAAATTCCTATCACCTAGTGACATCCAGTACAACACATTACTCACGTGTCTGTGGTGATGCTGGTATAAACAAACCTACTATGTTGCCAGTCATATAAAAATATAGCACAATTATGTACACTACATAATACTCTACTTGATAGTGATAAAAAATGACTATGCTACTGTGGTTTAAGTGTTTACTATGCTATACTTTTCATTGTTACGTTGAAGCATACTTCTACCTAAAAAGTTCAGCCTGAGTAACAGAGCAAGACCCTGTCTCTAAAAACACGTGTTTTTTTGTTTGTTTGTTTTTTCTTTGTTTGCTTTGTTTTGAGACAGAGTTTCCCTCTTTTCACCCAGGCTGGAGTGCAATGGCGCAATCTTGGCTCACTGCAACCTCCACCTCCCGGGTTCAAGCGATTCTCCCGCCTCAGCCTCCCGAGTAGCTAGGACTACAGGCGCCTGCCACCACACTCAGCTAATTTTTGTATTTGTAATAGAGACAGGGTTTCACCATGTTGGCCAGGCTGACCTGGAACTCCTGACCTCAGGTGTTCCACCCACCTTGGCCTGCCAAAGTGCTGGGATTAGAAGCGTGAACCATCGTGCCCGGACAAAAAAATTTTTAAAAATTAGCTGGGCATGCTGGCACAGGCTCCAGGCACGGGAGCCTGAGGTGGGAGAATGGCTTGAGCCTAGAAATTTGAGGCCGTAGTGAGCTATAATCACGCCACTACATTCCAGCCTGAGTGACACAGCAAGATCATGTCTCTAAAAAAAGAAAAAAGTTAACCATAACACAGTCTCAGGCAGGTCCTTCGGGAGATATTCCAGAAGAAGGCATTGTTATAATTGAAGATGGCAGTTTCATGCGTGTTCATGCCCCAGAAGACCTTCCAATAGGACAGATAGAGGTGGAAGACAATTGTACTGATGATCCAATTCTGATCCTGTGAAGGCCTAGACCAATGTGTTTGCGTTTGTCTTAGTTTTTAACAAAAAAGTTGAAAAAATAAAACATTGGCTGGGCACAGTGGCTCCTGCCTGTAATCCCAGCACTTTAGGAGGCTGAGGTGGGCAGAATGCTTGAGGCCGGGAGTTTGAGACAAGCCTGGGCAACATAGGGAGACCCCCATCTCTACAAAATATTTAAAAACTAGCCAGGTGTGGTGGCACATGCCTACAGTACCAGCTACTCAGGAGACTGTGGCAGAAGGACTGCTTGAGCCCAGGAGTTTGAGGCTGCAGTGAGCTATGATTATGCCATTGCATCTCAGCCTTGGTAACAGAGTGAGACGCTGTCTGTTTTGACAGAACTCTGATAAAGCAGTCATCAGACTAAATGATAGGCTTCAAAATGAAACTGTCAATAAAGGTACTAATAATTTGTTAAATGTTTATGGGTATTTACTATTATATTAACATTTAGGCCAGGGGTGGTGGCTCTCGCCTGTAATCCCAGCACTCTGGGAGGCCAAGGCAGGTGGACCATTTCAGGTCAGCAGTTCGAGACCAGCCTGGCCAACATGGCAAAATCCATCTCTACTAACAATACAAAAATTAGCTGGATGTGGTGGCGGGCACCTGTAATCCCAGTTATTCCAGAGGCTGAGGCAGAAGAATCGCTTGAACCCTGGAGGCAGAGGTTGCAGTAAGCTGAGATTGTGCCATTGCACCCCAGCCTGGGCAACAGAGCAAGACTCCATCTCAAAAAACTAACAAACAAAAATTTAAACATTTGCCTTTCCCTTGGAGATCATTAATTCTTTATGTGTCAGCAGCTTCCAGGAATATTATGCAATATATGTAAATATTATAAATTAGCAGCCTCCAGAAATGCATTTTGTAGTAACCACTAGAGCATTTTTAAAAATTTATATGGGCCGGGCGCGGTGGCTCAAGCCTGTAATGCCAGCACTTTGGGAGGCCGAGACGGGTGGATCACGAGGTCAGGAGATTGAGACCATCCTGGCTAACATGGTGAAACCCCGTCTCTACTAAAAATATAAAAAACTAGCCAGGCGAGGTGGCGGGCGCCTGTAGTCCCAGCCACTCGGGAGGCTGAGGCAGGAGAATGGCGTGAACCCGGGAGGCGGAGCTTGCAGTGAGCTGAGATCCGGCCACTGCACTCCAGCCTGGGCGACAGAGCGAGACTCCATCTCAAAAAAAATAAAAAATAAATTAAAAAAAATATTTATATGTATGCTATATATATATATATATATATTTTTTTTTTTTTTTTTTTTTTGAGACAGGTCTCACTCTATCACCCAGGCTAGGGTGCAGTGGCGCAGTCATGACTCACTACAGCCTTGATCTCCTGGGCTCAAGCAATCCTCCCACCTCAGCCTCCCAAGTAGCTAGGACTACAGGCATGCGCTATCAGGCTTGGTTAGTTTTTTAATTTTTAGTAGAAATGAGGTCTTGCCATGTTGCCCAGGCTGGTCTCAAACCCCTGAGTTCAAACAATCCTCCTGCTTCAGCCTCCCAAGTGCTGGTATTACACATATGAGCCACCATGCCTGGACACTGTATATTTATTGGTGAGGTATATTTATTGATGCGGGCAATATAATAAGCAAAATCTTTCAGTCTCTGAGATTCCAATCTAAATTTTTAATTTCTGCCTGTAATCCTAGCACTTTGGGAGGCTGAGGCAGATGGATCACCTGAGGTCGGGAGTTGGAGACCAGCCTGGCCAACATGGTGAAACCCGTCTCTACTAAAAATACAAAAAAATTAGCTGGGCGTGGTGGCAGGCACCTTTAATCTCAGCTACTCAGGAGGCTGAGGCATGAAAATTACTTGAACCCAGGGGGCAGAGGTTGCAGTGAGCCAAGATCACACCACGGCACTCCAGCCTGGGAGTCAGAGTGAGACTCTGTCTCAAAAAAAATAAAAATAAAAATAAAATAAAATAAATGTTTAATTTCTGCCAGAAGTTTGATTTATATATCATTTACATATTTTTTTCATCCTACAAAATGATGTCAGTTTTATTACCACAGAGCCTTTGCCTTATAAAGTACTTATGATAAGGCATGGTGAGATAGATTAAGCAAACCCTTAAAAACTTCATATACTTACAATCTCTCAAAAGAGTATTACTTTTCCTTGGGTACAAAACATGCATGAATTTTTTCCCAACAGCTTTTAGATCACGCATCTGAAAAACAGAAACAACCTGTTGTATTGTGATGACCAAGGTTGTCAGCAGCCTTACTTAATTTGCTAAAATTTCTTTTATTTCAATCTCCTGTGAACTCTTCATTGAATTTTGCAGATAATTCCAGTTCAACTCCTTCACTACACAAACAAACCAGAGAGGTAGGGTATGCTTTTTCTATTAACTCCTTAAGCCAACTTTTAACACTTTTCCACATCTTTTTTGATCTGTTCTGTTTTGATGTTGAAAACAAATCCATAAAAAAGAAACACAGCCCTCCCAATAGGCTGCTTGAAGAAACTAAAACAATTGCACTATAAAAAGCTGCTCTACAAAACACAGTATGTGACATTCAGTTCATAGAAGATGAGGTCTCAAGGGTCAATTAGCCTGCTCTCTAGCTACCACATTCTTTGCAATATATGAAATAAATTTCTAACATTCCCAATTTAATTGGTAAACAAATCCTAGAAGCCAGATTAAAAAAAAAAAATCACGAAACTGGAGGAAGGGTTCAGTAATACAAATACAACCTCTCAAAGTACCACTGAGCTAATTCTGTTTTAGTTTTTTCACCTAGAACTTTATCCATGTTATTAAACACTTTGTAAACATAATTTTTAATAGTTGTTTAGCATCCCATCACAAAGATATAACATAATTTACCTAACCAATACCTCATCTATGGTTCATTTATTTCTAGCTTTCCCCTATTACAAAGAATGCTATAATAAACATCTTTGTATATTGATACTTTTATGTTGAAAATTTTTGTTTTACATTTTAAAACTTTCCTTATACTATATTTGGAGAAGTATGATAATATATTGGTTTAAAAAGATTTGGACATTTTAAGTTTTTTTTTTTTTTTTGAGACGGAGTCTCGCTCTGTTGCCCAGGCCAGAGTACAGTGGTGTGATCTCCGCTCACTGCAACCTCCACCTCCCAGGTTCAAGCGATTCTCCTGCCTCAGTCTCCCAAGCAGCTGGGATTACAGGCGTGCGCCACCATGTCCGGCTAATTTTTGTATTTTTAGTAGAGATGGGGTTTCACCATGTGGGTCAGGTTGGTCTTGAACTCCTGAACTCAGGTGATCCGCCCGCCTTGGCCTCCCAAAGGGCTGAGATTACAGGCGCGAGTCACCACACCTTGCGGTTTTAAGATTCTTAATATGCATTATAACCAAACTGCTCTCCAAAAAGGCTGTACCAAATTATTCTCTAGAATAAAATATTAAACTTCAGTATATAAAACATATTCAAAACCAGTGAACCAAATGAAAATATTGCAAAGTACTATCAGTTACTTAGTCCCAGGATACTGAACAGAAGTTCTCTCAACTAGTCTAACTTACGATTGTATTGCGAACAGATTCATTTAATGTGGAGCTGTCAAACTCCCGGATGCGAGATTTCATAGGAATGGTGATTTCTCCTTCTACGGGGATGTCTTGTGAGATGGATATATCTGAAAGGCCTGCAAACTGAGAGGAGTCATGGGAAAAAAAGTAAGCCTGTAATAAACTGTAGCATTCCTCATATATATCATCATTTCCTAGAGAGTTGGGACCATGTATTTTGTAGGGTTTTACATAGGAAAGTAGGTGTTAGCTCAACAGACATTACACAATGCAGTTAACAATAATTCTCAAATTTATTTCTTTAAAGATTAAACATAATGAAAAAACTAAAGTAAATGTCATAGACACCTTCTTGCCCACCAACATTTAGCATAAAATCTTCACATGGCACAAGCTAGCAAAATTGAGATAATAATTGTAAAGTTATTAAAAAGTGACCTTTTAGCAATCACTGTCTTAGAATGGCTGCATTTCTGTTGCACTTCTGCTCCCTAGCAGGCTCTAGTGGCCTCTGCTGGCTAAAAATGAGCATTACATGAACCATAAAGGCAAGTGGGAGGAAAAGGGAAATAGCAAAATATACCTTGATTACACTCTTTATAGGTTACCTGGCAATCACAGAGCAAATACAATTTTCAAAGTGAATAAGGAATGTGAACTTTTAAATTCATACTCATCTGCTAAATTTTATTACAACCGAAACTCGAATCTACAAATTCCTAAGAAAATAGAGGCAATGCCTTCTCATACAGTTTTTGGACCAGTAGGCACAATTTTTAGTGGGCAACAGTTGCAGATAGAGGAAACACAAGACAGTATACTGCAATTTTAGAAAGAATGAGGATGTTCACAGAATTTGTAAAGGGTTGGGTGCGGTGGCTCATGCCTGTAATCCCAGCACTTTGGGAGGCCAAGGTGAGCAGATCACCTGAGGTCGGGAATTTGAGACCAGCCTGACCAACATGGAGAAATCCCATCTCTACTAAAAATACAAAATTAGCTGGGCATGGTGGCGCATGCCTGTAATCCAAGCTACTCGGGAGGCTGAGGCAGGAGAATCGCTTGAACCCAGGAGGTGAAGGTTGCGGTGAGCCGAGATCACACCATTGCACTCCAGCCTGGGCACCAAAAACAAAACTCCGTCATAAATAAATAAATAAATAAATAAATAAATAAATAAAATGAAATAAAATAAATTTCTTAACCACATTCATATTTCTTAACTATAAGAAACATTCCATAGAATTTTTTTTTAAGGTTTCCTATAGAGGAAAGAAAGGAATAGGATAGAGCAGACAGGGAGAGAAACTAGGCTTTTTTCAATACATATTGTTCGTATAAATGACTTGCAATCATATAAACAGTTCACACAATTATGAAACAAAATTAAAATTTGAAGGAAGCAATCCCTGAAACTGAGAGAAAAATTAAACCAATGAAACTACCACGTACTGAAATAAACACACAACCACAAAGATAGCACCTATTTCAAGTGACTATATAACACTGTAATTTGACTTCTGACTAAGATCTAGGAAGCTGGAAAGACCATTCCCCAAGGAGAACAATGAGAAAAGGCTAGATACTTTACTTTATCATAACTTTCCCTGAATTCATCTGAGACCTGAGTTGTAGGGAGACCAAGTAGCCTGGATGAAATCTAAAGAACGCCAGGTGCTTCCACGAAGAGACATCAGCAGTGGCTCAACGGTAGCAAAGCATGAGGAGAAGACAATGCTGCACACCACACCACACAGATGGGTGAGAATTCCACCAAAATTTTAAATAAATTGCTAAAGTCCAAGTATGGACTAGCACAAGAGTACAGAACCCCTAGAAGCAACAGACTCAAGGGGAGTTCACACCCTCTTGCAGGCTCTTCTCTAGAAAAAAGCCCCTAGAGAGAAAGAGCCTTAAAGCCACTTGGACAAAAACAAGTTGCTTTCAGAACACAGGCAACAACTCACTGAAGCTGGTGAAAGGGAAAAGGAAAAGCTCTCTACTACTAAGGGATGGACAAGAAACCATCCTGGGCCCAGACCGTTAAGAGTTTCCTTCAGCTAGGAGGGGGACAGGATCACTAAGAAAGTGCCACCCAGGAGACCCAGGGACACACGGTATGCCTAAGGCAGAGACTAGACTATGACAACAAAGAATCCCCTTTTCCTGGCCCCTATCACCAGGCTAGCAAGTATGGAGCAATAAACAACAGCAGTCTACTGCTGGAGGAAGGGCTAGAGCTTAGAAAGAGACTCACCATGAGATGCAAGGGCAAAGACAGAAGCTGAGTATAGAACATGAACATTAATAAAAACATTGGGGCTGGGTGCAGTGGCTCATGCCTGTAATCCCAACACTGGGAGGCTGAGGTAGGAGAATTGCTTGAGGCCAGGAGTTTGAGACTAGTCTGGGTAATATAGTGAGACCCCCATCTCTACAAAAAAATGTTTTTAAAAAATTAGTTGGGCATGGTGGCATGCAACTGTGGTCCCAGCTACTGAGGAGGCTAAAGTGGGAGGATCACTTGAGCCCAGGAGGTCAAGGCTGCAGTAAGCTATGATCACGCCATTGCACTCCAGCCTGGGTAACAGAGTGAGACGCTGTCTCAAAAAAAACCAAACCAAAACAACAACAAAAAACAAAACACTGGGACAACATAGCACCCCTACCCCTAAACACAAGGTAACAGCAGAGGAATCTGAAGCTGGTGATACACTGAAGGTACCCATAGCAACAACGAAAAAAGAACAAATGAAGCTCAACTCCTGACTAGACTGACTTAACCCCTACTGACTGACAACTCAGTAGCAGAGGTGTGCCACTTCTGGCAGTGTATACATGATGTCTAGCGTTCAATATCAATAACAAATTATCTCCCCCATATTCACATGAAAAAACAACCCACTATGAGACAAAGCAATCAACAAAACCAGACTCTGAGATGACCAAGATGTTAGAATTATCAGAAAAGAAATTTAAGATTACTATGTTTAATATGCAAAAGGCTCTAGTAGAAAAGGTACATGCATGAATGGTGATGAATTTCTGCAAAGAGATGGAAACTGTAAGAATCAGATGGCAATGCGAGAAATACATGAACATAGTAACAGATGAAGGATGCCTTTGCCAGCCTTATCAGTTAACTCAATACCAAAGATTTCAGAGCTAGGTCAGTCAAAATTATCCAAACTAAAACAAAAAGAGAAGAGTAAAAGAACAAAAGGTAAAAGAATAGAGTATGTAGGAACTATGGGAAAACATTAAATGGTCTTATTATTTAAATAATTGGAATCCCAGAAGAATAGAAAGATAACGGCTCTGAAGAGATATAGGCCAACTGCAGTGGCTGACGCCTGTAATCCTAGCACTTTGGTAGGCCGAGGCAGACAGAATGCTTGAGCCCACGAATTCCAGACCAGCCTGGGCAACATGGTGAAACTCCATCTCTACAAAAAAATATTTAAAAATTAGGCCGGGCGCGGTGGCTCAAGCCTGTAATCCCAGCACTTTGGGAGGCCGAGACGGGCGGATCACGAGGTCAGGAGATCGAGACCATCCTGGCTAACACGATGAAACCCCGTCTCTACTAAAAAATACAAAAAACTAGCCGGGCGCGGTGGCGGGCGCCTGTAGTCCCAGCTACTCGGGAGGCTGAGGCAGGAGAATGGCGTAAACCCGGGAGGCGGAGCTTGCAGTGAGCTGAGATCCGGCCACTGCACTCCAGCCTGGGCGACAGAGCGAGACTCCGTCTCAAAAAAAAAAAAAAAAAAAAAAAAAAATTAGCCAGGAGTGGTGGCACACACCTGTAGTCCCAGTTACTTGGGAGGCTATGGTGGGAGGATCACCTGAGCCCAGGAGTTCAAGGCTTGCAGAGCCCAAGATCATGCCACTGAACTCCAGAGACTCTGTCTCAAAAAAAAAAAAAAAAAGAATAGCTGAAAATTTTCCAAAAATAATGAGATATGAAAGGACAGATGCAAGCTTAAGAGAACCCCAATCAAGATGAATACCAAACTACAAAATGAAAAAATCCACAAACCTAGACACAAACTACTGAAAACCAAAGAAAGAGAAAATCTTGAAAGTAGCCAAAGAGAAAGGCATTGCATTCATAGGAACAAAGATAAGAATTATAATAAAAGGCCGGGCATGGTGGCTCACACCTGTAATCCCAGCATTTTGGGAGGCTGAGGTAGGCAGATCACCTGAGGTCAGGAGTTCAAGACCAGCCTGGCCAACATGGTGAAATCCCATCTCTACTAAAAATACATAAAAATTAGCTGGGCATGGTGGCAGGTGCCTGTAATCCCTGCTACTTGGGAGGCTGAGACAGGAGAATCACTTGAACTCGGCAGGCGGAGGTTGCAGTGAGCCAAGATCACGCCACTGCACTCCAGCTTAAGTGACAGGGTAGGACTCCACCGCAAAAAAAAAAAAAAAAAAATAGGCATCTCTAACAAAATATAAACAAACAAATAAAGAAAGACATCTCACCAGAAACTATGCAAACCAAAAGAAAATGGAGGGACACTTCTGGAGGGCTAAAAGAATAAAACTATTAACACAGAATTCTAAACCCAGCAATACCTATTAAAAACAAAGGCAAAGTAAAAACGTTTTTCAGACAAGCAAAAGCTAAAATATATTCTACAAGAAATGCTAAAGGAAGTTCTTCAGAAAGAAGGAATATAATATCAGAAGGAAACTTGGATTTACATAAATAAATGATCTCCTAAAGTGGTTAAAATGAAGGCAAATATGACATTTCTTCCTATTTTTAATTATTCTAAAAGATAATTGCCTAAAGCAGGGGTCACCAACTTTCTGTAAAGGGTCAAACAGTAAATATTTCAGGTTTTAAGAGCCATATGGTTTCTGCTGCAACTGCTGAACTTTGCATTGTAGCATGAAAGCAGCTAAAGATAACACACAAATAAATAAGTGTAGCTCTGTTCCCAGAAAACTATACTTAGAAAAACAGGCAGTGGGCCAATTTTTAATTATAAAAATATAATTTAGGAGATAATTGGAAATTTGAACCCTAATAAGATATATTAAGAAATTATTAATTTTTACACGCATTATTATTGTGGTTATGTTCTCTCTAAAAGCAGAATTCTAAT